AGGTAACAGTGGCTGGTAACTAGGTAACTGAGGTAACTGTGGTAACCAAGGTAACCGCCACAATACAATGGATATTGTTACAGATGTGTTTCAGTTATACATAGGTAACAGTGGCTGGTAACTAGGTAACTGCGGTAACCAAGGTAACCGTCACAATACAATGGATATTGTTACAGATGTGTTTCAGTTATATATAGGTAACAGTGGCTGGTAACTTGGTAACTGTGGTAACTGTGGTAACCAAGGTAACCGTCACAATACAATGGATATTGTTACAGATGTCTATCAGCTAAAATGGTAACAGTGGCTGGTAACTAGGTAACTGTGGTAACCAAGGTAACCGCCACAATACAATGGATATTGTTACAGATATCTATCAGCTAAAATGGTAACAGTGGCTGGTAACTAGGTAACTGTGGTAACCAAGGTAACCGCCACAATACAATGGATATTGTTACAGATATCTTTTAGTTATATATAGGTAACAGTGGCTGGTAACTTGGTAACTGAAGTAACTGTGGTAACCAAGGTAACCGTCACAATACAATGGATATTGTTACAGATGTGTTTCAGTTATATATAGGTAACAGTGGCTGGTAACTAGGTAACTGAGGTAACTGTGGTAACCAAGGTAACCGCCACAATACAATGGATATTGTTACAGATGTGTTTCAGTTATATATAGGTAACAGTGGCTGGTAACTTGGTAACTGTGGTAACCAAGGTAACTGTCACAATACAATGGATATTGTTACAGATGTCTATCAGCTAAAATGGTAACAGTGGCTGGTAACTAGGTAACTGTGGTAACCAAGGTAACCGCCACAATACAATGGATATTGTTACAGATGTGTTTCAGTTATATATAGGTAACAGTGGCTGGTAACTAGGTAACTGAGGTAACTGTGGTAACCAAGGCAACCGCCACAATACAATGGATATTGTTACAGATGTGTTTCAGTTATACATAGGTAACAGTGGCTGGTAACTAGGTAACTGTGGTAACTGTGGTAACCAAGGTAACCGTCACAATACAATGGATATTGTTACAGATGTGTTTCAGTTATACATAGGTAACAGTGGCTGGTAACTAGGTAACTGTGGTAACCAAGGTAACCGTCACAATACAATGGATATTGTTACAGATATCTTTCAGTTATATATAGGTAACAGTGGCTTGTAACCGTGGTAAAGAAAGATAGATATTATGTCAGTTGGTAACATTTTGACTGATGCTGTTAAGTATTATTTATTATTTCTTTCATCCTAACTTATTGTTCAATTGTCTTTTTTGTTCATAATACCAAAAATAGTAATAACAATGTAATAATAGTGAAAATAGTTATAATAATACTAATTATTAATAATCTGTCTCAAACTTATGTGCACATTGAGCAATTAAAGTTTTGTCAATAAATTTTATTCTAGGGCAATTACTTTAGAATGATGCAACGGTCGTCTACCAGTCTTGTAGCATAAAGAAATGTATCGGTTGCGGTGTTTTATCATCCGATGAAGAAAGA